ATGGGGTGGGGTGGGGGTGGGGGTGGAAGAAGAAGAAGCATACAAAATATCTCTTTGCTTTTTCCTTTTTCTTTTTTAAACTTATTTTATTTTTCATTCTTATTTTGATGATTTTTTTCTCCTTATTTTAATTATTTCTTCTTCAAAATCTTCATATGCACGCTCCTTGGTCGCGTGAATTACAGACACTTTGTCCAGCTCAACCATTTTGTTGCCACATGTCCTTGGTCAACAGTCAGAGGGGTTTATAATATAGATTTTGAACAAATTAAAGTGTCTGGATGAAAAAAAGTGAAGTATGAGGACCGCATTACAAAGTGGCACAAGTATAGGTGCCATTTAGGCCGTTCTGCCATTTAATTTTGATACCTGTTTTACTAGGGGTAAGTGCACAGATAACCAATCTTAGTAATGTTATTTAGAGACTATCCAATATCTATTTGGTCCTGAAATTTTAAACTAAAAATATAAATTTCAGGATAATTCAGGATATTTTTGTCTGAAAAAACTGAAATTGAGGACGTACCGACTAATTTCTAAATAGCAGCCATTAGAGTGGTTACCTGGTGTCTTTTTTTATATTTTTTACTAATCCATACATCCGAACTAAAAGAGGGCGAACGGCACAAATAGCCACTAAAAGTTGTGGCTTTTATTTTAAAGCCATTGTTTTCAATGTATTTAGACTTTAGCCACTCCTTTTAAAAAACTTATACCTGACTAGACGAAAATACCCTTCTGGTATAACTTATACCTACGCTATCAACACAAGCAGCAGTTACACAAAGAGAAGAAGCGAGCAACAGCAGCAGCGGCGATCAACTGAGGACGAACCACCATTTCTCTTCCCGATTTCAAAAATTCAGCAATCTAATCCAAAAAAACAACATAGATAAACAGTAAGTTGTAATTTCATGTGTTTCTATCAATTTTTATTTCGCTATAGTTATACTTTTTTAGATCTGTATTGATTTGATATATATTAGATAAGAATTTGATTTTTTTTGAATTTCTGGATTGATAAATTTATAGACACCGCCTCCTATGATAATTCTGTATTGAATTTCTGGATTGCTAAGGACTAGCAGTCCTTAACTTTTAATTCCATGTTTAAATGTTAAAGGACAGACAGTCGTTAGCTTTTAATTTCTGGTTCAAAAGTTAAGGNAGTAGTTGCTGACAAAACCTGCACTCAAATAACTAAACGAAGATCAAATTTGAAACAAAAAGAATCCCCAACTACGATATTAAGAGAAAATGCTTCTTTGGATCAAATAAAAGTCGGATCAGTATTTGACAAGAAGAAGAGCATAATTAATTGTTTTTCTAATGTAGCAATCAAAGGACATTTTGAATTTAAAGTTTNTTAACTTTTAATTCCATCTTTAAAAGTTAAGGACTGGCAGTCCTTAACTTTTAATTCCATGTTTAAATGTTAAGGACTTGTAGTCCT